CCCTCACTCCCGACCAGCAGCCCCTGCTAGCCCAGCCCTGCCCCCCAGCTCTGCCAGCGCCCCTCACTCCCGACCCGCAGCCCCTGCTAGCCCAGCCCTGCCCCCACAGCTCTGCCAGTGCCCCTCACTCCCTACCTGCAGCCCCCTGCCAGCTCAGCCCTGCCCCCCCAGCTCTGCCAATGCCCCTCACTCCCGACCCGCAGTCTCTGCTAGCCCAGCCCTGGGTCCCCCCAGCTCTGCTGATGCCTTTCAGTCTTGGGGCAGGGAAGCAGGGCAAGGATTAAGTGGGGTAGACAGAGGGCTGTGGGGGGCTCTCACCAGTGGGCAGTGGTCTGATAGGGGGATGGGGAGATGGGGTCTGTGGGGAGCTAGGGGGTCATGGGGGGCTGTGGGGGTTTCAACCTTGGGCAGTGGCTTGATGGGGGGCTGTAGGGGTCTCTCACTGTTGGGCAGGGATTTGCTGGGGGGAATGGGGAGATGGAGGCTGTGGGGGGGCTATGGGAGGTTGTGGGGGGACATGGGGGGCTGTGGGGGTCTTTCACCATTGGACAGTGGTTTGATGGGGGCTGGGGGGGGCCCGGGGGGGGGCTGTGGGGGGCTAGGGGAGGTTGTGGGGGGGCATTGGCGGCTGTGGGGGTCTCTCACCGTTGGGCACTGGTTTGATGTCCACATCTCCTTGCTGGTTTGAACTGTCTGATTGTCCGGATTCTGTAACACACAAACACAGAGCAATGTCAGGGTCTGGGCAGCGCCCGGCACAGGGGGCCCGATCCTGGCGGGGGTCTGGGCAGCGCCCGGCACAGGGGGCCCGATCCTGGAGGGGGTCTGTGTCGTTACCAGAACAGACAACAACAAACCCAGACGCACCCCAGGGGAACCAGCCTGACCCCAGAGACTCCCCATAGCTTGTCCCAAAGTGGCCTTCAGAACCGTGCGCCAGGTGCACCCAGCAGTGCCATGGCCCCACCCCATTTCCCCCCCCCAGCTGCCCACCCCCTTGGGCCTTGGACCCGGGGCGGTCTCGGGGCTCCCGTAGAGCTGCTCACCCTTCATTTTCCACCCGGTTTCCACTCCCCCCTGATGCCCCTCCCCAATACAGGGCATTGGAGCCAGCCCCCCTCCACCCCTACTGCGCATCAGGGCACAGCCCCGGCACTGCAGTGGCACAGCCCAGGCTTTGCAGTGGCGCGATTTGCGTGTCACAGTGGCACTGCCCGGGTGTTGCAGTGGCGCAATTTGGGCATTGCAGTGACGCAGCCCGGGCGTTGCAGTGGCATAGTTTGGACGTTGCAGTGGTGCGATTCGGGCGTTGCGGTGGCACTCCCCGGGCGTTGCAGTGGCGCGATTTAGGTGTTGCATTAGCACTCCCCGGGCGTTGCAGTGGCATAGTTCAGTTGTTGCAGTGGCACAGCCCAGACGTTGCAGTGGTGCAATTTGGGCATTGCAGTGACATAGTTTGGGTGTTGCAGTGGCACAGCCTGGGCTTCGCAGTGGTGCAATTTGGGCATTGCAGTGGCATAGTTCGGACGTCGCAGTGCGCGATTTGGGCATTGCAGTGACGCAGCCCGGGCGTTGCAGTGGCATAGTTCGGACGTTGCAGTGGCGCAGTTTGGGTGTTGCAGTGGCACTGCCTGGGCGTTGCAGCCCTGGTGCCATGAGCGTGCAGTGGTAGTGCCCGTAGTGTACCCATGGGCGCAGCACTTCCTCCACCCTCACCCCACATTTTCTCTGCTGGGGTTAATGGGCCACGTCCCGACCCCCTTCCTCAGCCCCCATCCCCCCGGCGGAGGCAGCGGCCCCTCGGCGGCAGGGTGGCGCCATGGCCCTGAGGCTGGCGCTGGGCACAGGACTAGGCCGAGGACCCAAGAGATGGGCACTGCCCTTGGTTCTCCGGCAGTGCCCCGTGGGGCTGCCCGGCTGGGCACCTCCAGGCCTGAGGCTTCCGAAGAGTTAATCGGCCTCGGCCTTCCCCTGCAGGCTTGGCACGGGCGGCCGCCAGCCCGCGGGTTACCTATGTCAACAGCCCACGCTCTGCCCCCCCTCCTGGCATCAGCCGGGGCGCCGCCCCCTGCCCCGGGTCCATCTCCTCTAAGGCCCGGCCCCCCAAAGCTGGCTCAGGCCCCGCTCCCTGCTCGGCCCTGCCGGCTGCTGGCAGCCATCTTAAAACTTGGCAGCCATCTTAGTGCTGGCGGCTAGCAGCGGCCCCATGGCTGAGGGACGGACGGGGCTGGGGGCTGAGCCCTGGGACCGGGGAAACGCAGCCTTCAGAGCGATGAGAAGGGAAGGCCGTGGGGCACTGACGTGGAGGGCGCTGGCGCGGGGGCTGGCGCAGGAGCAGGGAAACACACGGGTTCTTGAGGCCTCCCCAAGCACAAGCTCCCGCCACCTCTGGGCCCAGCCGGGCATTTTGGGTCTGGTTGCAGGAGGGGAGTGGGGTCTGGTGGTTAGAGCAGGGGGTGGGGAGCCAGGATGCCTGGGTTCTCTCCCCAGCTCTGGGAGGGGAGGGGGGTCTGGTGGTTACAGCGGGGGCGGGGGCAGGACTCCTGGGTTCTATCCCCTGTCACTAACGCTAGCCCCTTCCCCGGGACTTGACTCCATAGCCCAGAGCCCTGGTTAGTGCTGGCTAACGACTCAGTGGGGGTGGGGCTCGCGGCACTTGGGGGGTGCAGGGCAGGGCCCTCCCCGGCGGGGCAGGAGCTGTGAGACATCCCAGGGCCCAGAGCACTCGGCCCCAGCCTGGGCAGGGGCTGCTCCCCAGGGGACCCGGCAGGGAACAGCTATGGGGCAGCCCCCTTACTCTCAGCCACACGGCTCCAGAGCTGGGATAGAACCCAGGAGTCCTGGCACCCAGGCCCCCGCTCTAACCACCAGACCCTGTCCCCACTCCTCCCGGAGCCAGGGAGAGAACCCAGGAGTCCTGCCCCAGCCACACCTCCCTCCATCAGATCTGTTGGGGGGAGAGGCCCCCCCTCCCCTGCCCCCTCCCTCTCCCCCTCCCCAGCCTTTATCCAGCGACTAAACCCTTATCGGGAGGCAGCAGCTGAACAAACACAAACCTGCCGCTGGCAAGGCCCCTACGATGCCCGGCTGCTTTATCTCGCCCAGGCAGGCCGGGCACGGCCCCCTGCCAGCAGTGCTCTGAAGGGGGGGAAGCCAGGCTGGATTTTACTTGCCCCCCCCAGTCCCAGCTTCTCCCCAAGGAGGCCCTGAGACGCCATCGGGTGCTGGGGGTCGGATCA